TGACACTGAGAGGAAAGTAGGGTTGCAATGCACAAAGTCCTCAGTCTAAGGAGCTTGGAAAGAAAAGCGTCTGGACTTCTTTGAGTTGCTTGAAGACGTTTCACCTCTCATCTGAGAAGCTTCTTCAGTTCTAAGGTCAAATGGTGGAGAGTCCCAGATTTAAACCCAGTGGGAGTTTCCCCCCTCTTCTTAGAACTGAAGAAGCTTCTCAGATGAGAGGTGAAACGTCTTCAAGCAACTCAAAGAAGTCCAGACGCTTTTCTTTCCAAGCTCCTTAGACCCGGGTGTGTGTGGTTCACCTGCAAGGCCCAAGGTCAGTGGCATAAGATATTTATCACCCCAGCTCCTTAGAGGATAAGCTGTGTGCAGTAGCATGCTGCTTCTGAGATGCTCTTCCTGCTGCTTGAAAAATTAGAGTTTTTATTTAAGACCAGATGCTTCCAAATAAAATATTCTCTATAAACAAAAGTCTACAGGAAAATACTTGATGCAGCTATCAGAGAGACACCAAAGTGAGGAAATGTGAGCTGTGCAGGGATGTCAAATGAGATGCATCGGCTGATTTCAGATGTCGCTCTTTATCAGTCAACAGTGGCCGGAAAAAGCACAGGAATTTTCTGCGGGCGTAACCAACACAGAAGAACGGTCTACCTCAACCCTCGGGCCCCACAGGCAGTAATGCTCAACAGCTGTTCTCATGCCACATGTGCACAAACCATCCCTAACCTCCTCTGACTTTACTTCTAAATACGAACCAATGCAACAGCAGTAAGGTGCTGATGTTTCATCCTCCTCCACATCTGCTACAATAGATAATGAGGTATTATTATTACTACCATCACTGTTTTTATGAAGGCATTGGTATTCAGGCTATACAGTGGCTAAATGCCTGGTTGAATGCACATAGCAGGGAAGTTAATGGGAGACAAAGACGTTCTTCTTTGAAATTCTGGATTGCATCCTTGTCTTTGGCTAATGTGTGCTCAACATAAAACAGATCACCTTGAGGTACTTCAGGGAAAATAAACACAAATAATTCAGTGATAAACAGTGTTGGGCAAGTTACTTTGAAAAAAGTAATTGATTATAGTTACTAGTTACTTCTTCAAAAAAGGAACTGAGTTAGTAACTGAGTTTCAAGATTCTAAAAGTAATTAATTACTTGAAAAGTAACTATTGCATTACTTTAAAAAAAAAAAACATTTAACCCTCTGGGGTCCAGGGTATAATTGGCCATTTTTAACCACTTTTGATTTTCCCTCCACATTTCACCTTTAAAAACTATTTACTTTGCCTTGTTTGGTATCATCCTTTTCAGCACAACCTCACGTGTCTGAATTTACAGTCACGTTTTCATTTTGACATACTGTATTAACACAATTGATCTAAAATCAGACAAAAAACATAAAATCCGAGTAGAAAGTTATATTTTTTACTGTAATAACCACAAACATGTTTATTGAATCATATTTCATAATTTTAAATGCAAATATAAATTGTCAATTTTAAAACCCTCTGCACAAGTTTTGCAAACAAAGTTATTTGCAGCCATTTACCTTTTACCCTTTTTTTATAACCATTTCAAACTATTTACAGAACCATCAGCTGTTCTGCATTCAATAAGATGCCTCACAAATTATTTGTGCCACTCCAAAAAAACTATTTCTGTCCACTATAAAGGAGAACATCACAGCCTGATACCTGCAGGTCTGACAGCAGCAGGTGTATCACTCCTGTTTCTACCTGGAGACAGCAATCGCCTCATTGTTCTGACACACAACACAATACTATCCACAACGCTACACACTAACTACACAAGACAACACATTAACTACACGCTCCAAACACGCTAAACGTCACAAATCTCTCACATCTCAAAACTCGCTCTCTCTTTTTCTGCTCTCTCTCTCGCCGTCACTCCTAACTTCCCCTGTTTGTTTTTTTGTTTGTTTGTTTGTTTGTTTGTTTGTTTTGGCTCATAAGCAGAGAGTGCTTGCTGCGCTGTCCTTAGACAGTAAACGTGACGAAACTATTGAGGAAAAAACGCCGCATATATATTGTTTATCATGACTCTGGCTTTACGTGGCCTATCAACACAATTTATAAACTGGTATATATCACCTTGTTGCTTTATCTTTAAGTGGTCATGTGATTGGCTTACCACGACTACTTTATTCTTCCTCAGTCAAACAGCAGCACTCATGTGATTGTTTTGCCTCCTTAGCTCCAGGTGTTGCACCAAAAAGTGATCGTGATTACCGCCCGCGGGAGCGCGCAGCTGCTTAAAGCTGTAACGTCCAGATTACTTACGTAGTCAGCTACTTCCGTGCAACTGATATACAGTGGGGCAAAAAAGTATTTAGTCAGCCACCGATTGTGCAAGTTCCCCCACTGAAAATGATGACAGAGGTCAGTAATTTGCACCAGAGGTACACTTCAACTGTGAGAGACAGAATGTGAAAAAAAAAATCCATGAATCCACATGGTAGGATTTGTAAAGAATTTATTCGTAAATCAGGGTGGAAAATAAGTATTTGGTCACCTCAAACAAGGAAAATCTCTGGCTCTCACAGACCTGTAACGTCTTCTGTAAGAAGCTTTTCTGTCCCCCACTCGTTACCTGTATGAATGGCACCTGTTTGAACTCATCATCTGTATAAAAGACACCTGTCCACAGCCTCAAACAGTCAGACTCCAAACTCCGCCATGGCCAAGACCAAAGAGCTTTCGAAGGACACCAGGAAAAGTATTGTAGACCTGCACCAGACTGGGAAGAGTGAATCTACAATAGGCAAGCAGCTTGGTGTGAAAAAATCAACTGTGGGAGCAATCATCAGAAAATGGAAGACATACAAGACCACTGATAATCTCCCTCGATCTGGGGCTCCACGCAAGATCTCATCCCGTGGGGTCAAAATGATCATGAGAACGGTGAGCAAAGATCCCAGAACCACACGGGGGGACCTGGTGAATGACCTGCAGAGAGCTGGGACCAAAGTAACAAAGGTCACCATCAGTAACACACTACAACGGCAGGGAATCAAATCCCGCAGTGCCAGACGTGTTCCGCTGCTGAAGCCAGTGCATGTCCAGGCCCGTCTGAAGTTTGCCAGAGAGCACATGGATGATACAGCAGAGGATTGGGAGAATGTCATGTGGTCAGATGAAACCAAAGTAGAACTTTTTGGTATAAACTCAACTCGTCGTGTTTGGAGGAAGAAGAATACTGAGTTGCATCCCAAGAACACCATACCTACTGTGAAGCATGGGGGTGGAAACATCATGCTATGGGGCTGTTTTTCTGCCAAGGGGACAGGACGACTGATCCGTGTTAAGGACAGAATGAATGGGGCCATGTATCGTGAGATTTTGAGCCAAAACCTCCTTCCATCAGTGAGAACTTTGAAGATGAAACGAGGCTGGGTCTTCCAACATGACAATGATCCAAAACACACCGCCCGGGCAACAAAGGAGTGGCTCCGTAAGAAGCATTTGAAAGTCCTGGAGTGGCCTAGCCAGTCTCCAGACCTCAACCCCATAGAAAATCTGTGGCGGGAGTTGAAAGTCCGTGTTGCTCGGCGACAGCCCCAAAACATCACTGCTCTCGAGAAGATCTGCATGGAGGAATGGGCCAAAATACCAGCTACTGTGTGTGCAAACCTGGTAAAGACCTATAGTAAACGTTTGACCTCTGTTATTGCCAACAAAGGTTATGTTACAAAGTATTGAGTTGTATTTTTGTTATTGACCAAATACTTATTTTCCACCCTGATTTACGAATAAATTCTTTACAAATCCTACCATGTGGATTCATGGATTTTTTTTTCACATTCTGTCTCTCACAGTTGAAGTGTACCTCTGGTGCAAATTACTGACCTCTGTCATCATTTTAAGTGGGGGAACTTGCACAATCGGTGGCTGACTAAATACTTTTTTGCCCCACTGTAAGATGCTGTAAGCTGAACACAGCTTCAACCGTCTGTTTGTTGAAAAATAGTAACGGACCGCATTTTCTTGTTAGTAACTGTAACGACGTTGTAACGATAGGAATAGTAATTAGTTCGATTACTCGTTACTGAAAAAAGTAACGCTGTTAGCAACGCCGTTACCCATCACTGGTGATAAATCACCATGAGCTGCATTGACTGTAAAGGTATTTTAAAAAACAAAGACCTTTGACGTAACATAGCATGTCGCCTGAAACTGAAGAGACATGGACTTGTTTCCAAGCTGAAGAATGAGGCTCAAACATGTAATCATTTTCTAAATTTGGTGCCAGTTTTCATTGTGCGCATGAAATGATGAAAAAGACGAAAGAAGAAAGGGTTGTTTCATTTCACTTTGAATGTTAAATCAATCCTATATTCAAAAAAACAACTTCAATTAACAGCAAAGTGGTTATTTTAAGCTTTAGCTCCAGTCGCTCCTTCACTGAGGACTCTCTGGTCAGCGCCCTTCGGGCTTTGCAGCCATTCTGGGATTCGTCTTGACAGAAAGTGAACTGGCTCTGGCAGATAAATCCAATCTGTCCAGAGACGGCAAAATCCACCTGCTTGTACCTGATAAATCTTATATTTTATGATGTTTTTATTATTCTTGGTCCTTATAAAGATAACAGAAACACAAACTGTGCCTGTTTTTATAACAACGTGGTGATGTCTGACCTTTTGACCTATGACCTTTAAGCATTACATACTAAAATGGTGTATTTTATTATCTTTACCCATATGATTAAAGCGAGACTGGCTGAAATCTTTAGCTTCTAGCTGTAAAAACTTGAGACTTTAAGATCTATTCATGCTGTGTGTAATTTTGAAAAACTTTCTGGTGTCATTGTAAAGTTGAATATATAAAAAGTGTGTTGTACAGCTCTCTCCGTGCCCTTTCATGTGATATAATACACAATATGACGGTAGGTTACTTAAGCTTTAGGACATTCCTTCTTTTTTTATACTCCTGCTCTCTCTGCTCTCCCTCTCTTTCTTCTGGCAGCTGCGCCTGATGAGAGGTCTGGAAGTTTGCAGATATTCAGCAGCGGAAGCTCACACCCTAGAGGATATGAAGAGTTTTCCCTAAACATACCAGCTGCTGCTGGTGGTATTATCATCATTAAGTTGTGCTGCTAAACTTTAACAAGGCGTGTTGTTTGATCCTAATTAGCATCTGGCAGATTGGGGATACAACTCTGAGCAAATGAAAGGCTTTAGGTGCTTCACATGTTCATCAGTTTTATGTTTCAGGGGGGAAAAAAACTCAGATCCGGATCACTGAGCATCTTTTACTGTCAGATAAACGGACTGATACTTGCTCCTCGAAGGAGGGGTCAGGGAGAAAAGAAGGACTTCCTTTCTATAGGAAACTTTTCACATCTAATTCACAAAGAGGTCCAGACAGAGAGAGAGAAGGAGGGAGGGAGCTGCTGACTCAGGACTTTCCCCCTCCTCCGTCCCCGTCTTCTGAGCGGTGTGAAGCGGCAGCGCAGACGTGAACGAGGTGAGTCATTCAGATAGAGATCAGTCGGCTGCATGGGAGCGCTGTGGCGGTGATGTGAGATTGTGATGCATGACAGTCTGCTAGAAAGCACGGAGGCTTCACTAACTACAGTTTGGCTTTAACTTGTATAATGCTGCAGTGTGGACTACACAGCCAGCATAATAACTGCATGTACTTATGGATGCTATGAAATAAGAAGCATCAGTATGTAAACATGCCTTTCATCGTGATATTAGGAGAAAATCCCGTTTGATTTACAAGTTTCCACTTCAAGTAGAGATTTCCGCAAGAAAGAAAAAAAGAGAAAATCTTATGTAATACCCTTGGTCAGAGCGTGAGCCATGTCAAACATCTGGGTAAATCCCAGAAGGACCCAAATAGAAGCAAGCAGCACATTTCCACTGTGAGAAAGGAAGAAAACACCATTCAGGCAGTCGGGGTGAGGGTGGGTGGGGGGAATCATCAATCTATAATCACAATCAATTATTATAAATTCAAGTTTAAGCACAAATGACCAATAATGTAACCTGTAACCTGGGAAAGGAGCGTTTGTTTTGTTTTTTGTTGCTTTCTACTTTATTTAATTTGAAGCAGCAGATCAGCAGAATTTATGTGAGACTCCTAAAGATCTGCAAAACAGTGCACATTTACCCACATAGCGCTAAATCCAACCCCTGATTAGCGTTACGTAACTATGAATTGCTCCAAGCATATGGTGCTTTCTGCACCTCAGACAGACGAACTGTAGGATGGAGTCATAGTTTTATTGTTAGAACTCCTGAAGTCAGCTGACCTCACACCATGGGGATGGTTTTTATCGGTTTTATTAGACTGCTCACAGAGGTGGTCTGAGAGGATTTTCCTCACCGTGTTTGTTCTGGATTTTGAATTCTCCGTAAATATATTTGAGTTCAGGTTATCCTGTTATTGTTGTGCTTTGATTTTTGTGTTTGGACTTTTCATTCCTGCTTTTCATTCTCTATTCTTTATTTTTGCTTCTGCTCTTGGTCTTTATTAGGGGTACTTTGAGTGTCCTTGGTGTTTCTCTGCCATCCCCACCCTCTGGCTCATCTTTCTGTGCTAACTTTTGTCCTCCAGTGTTTGCTTGTCTCATGTTTGGAGTGAGTCATCTTGTTTTGGCTGAAACTTCCAGTCTGTCCTGGTTGTCTTGATTACATTAACTTGCATCTCATTCCCCTCCCCTCTTTACCTTCTCCCAATTAGTCCTCGGTGTATAAATAGCCCTGTCCTTCTTATTGCTCTTGTCGTGTCATCAGTTTTTGTTCCTGTTTTGTTCTCCGTGTTCTTTTGCTTCTTTTCTTCTTGTGTTTTCATCATTTTACCCTTGGACTCTGTTACTTTTTGGATTTGGTGAACAAACAAAGATGACCTTTAGTTTAATCAACTGCAACTCAACCATTCAAACCCTCTCAGAGCTGTCTGTAGCACAAAGGTGGACACATAAGTGCTAAAATATGACTCAGACACAGAAAACCTCCTGCTTCTCTCATTTAGGAAAGTGTCCCTTTGAAATGGACTGTCAAAGAAAAGGAAAGAGAGTTAGACACAGCTGAATCCTGAAAACTAAGTCCTTATCAGGATTAATTCAAGGCAAAAACATAAATAAATAATGGGGGGGGGGGGGGGTTAAATAGCATTTTCAAATTATTAGTTCCGTTTACAAAAATCCTGTTTTTGTTGTGAAGTCTTAATCCAAGTCTTCACCTTAAAAACATGTATTTTATACACAATTTTAACTCTGCATCTGATAGTGTCCTGATGTTTTGATGGCATTTCTCAAGTACTCTGTGGTTGCGCCTCTATTTTGCCCCTATGATTATTAAGAGTAATGTCCCATAGATATATGCAAATAAATGTGAATGTAACATTTCAGGAAAACCCGTACGATGTGATACAGCGTTACACGAGAACCCTTTCCTGAGGGTGCCAAGTAAACATTCGGAAAATATCGGCCGCTGTGAAGGTGGATACCGGCATTTCATATCTGCTAAGGCGCATTACAGACTTACTTTGTTTCATGGTGGCTCTTACTTTGTTTCTTCTCTTGATTATAGCAAAACAACAAGAGCAAGTTATTTTTAAGAGCGTGCAGAGGTTGCGTTCGTGGTCTTTAGCTGAGCAGCCACCTGTGTGTAAAGGATGCAACTGTGGTTATGGACCGAGCTGTCCTATAAACACAGCAGTACACCCTGTTCTGAACACAGAGAGTCTGGCAGACGGCCATCACCTATCCCCCAGTTCTCCAGAGTTTGCTATCTGAAAACAAAAAAAGCCCAGGGTCATTTTTCAAGCGATTTATGGTTCTTGCAGTCCAGATTCCTTTTGCAATGTTAAATCTCTGTGGATAACACACAATGACTAGGTTAAGCAGCTGGTTCTCATTCATTTGCTCATTTGCGAGTCTGTCATGGAGGAAAAATGTTGGTTCTGGTGACACACACTGTAGCAGCAACTACCGCAAACAGTGTCTGCGGTAGTTCCTGTTACATCTGTTTATATGTAGGCCAGTCTGTGAATAGAGTTTTTTTTCGAAAGAAATTCTGCAGCTGTGGATGGTACAGATGGTGAGATTAAAATAAAAAACAGCTACAAAGATTGGTTTGTAGAAGAAGTGAGTAAAGTACGCAGGAAGTAAGAGGAGCAGGTGTTTATGAGGCAAAACCAGCATGCCCAGTCTCAAACTCCTGTTGGCCACTGTCTAGCTGGCTGTGCAGTCATGGTAAAATATGGCCAGAGAAACATCTGGTTTGGCATGACTATACCAGAAAGCCCAGTTTTGTTTTTATTAACAGCATTATTATTATTGAGGTATACTCTCAGAATCACATTTAACTGACCATTAAAAGGCCGCTGGGCTGCCTGGTCAACTCATATTCAAACTTACTGACTGTCTTGAAAAAAACAAAAAGCTTTACTTGATTTTTTTTCCGCAGTTCCAGTCTCCTGATTTTTCTTCCCAGGTTGATGCATGTTTTTGCTGGCTCACTGCTTCAGATTCCTCTTTCTTTTTCCAGCTTCTGACATCATTATCTCACTTTCAAAGCAGCTGTCCAACAACTGACATTCCACATATAGGCCATCTCGCTATGTGATTACACCACTTGGGCTTCATTTTGATTTCAGCTACAAACTGGTAAAGTTTCATGACTTTATCTTACATGCTTTGTGCGACTTATCGCGTTCAGAAAGTAAAAAGACAGCTAGAAGTGCAGGCTCAAGTTCCCAGACGTGGAATAATCCAGGATTAGAAACCTTTCTCGCTGAAGGTCTTTGCTGAGTCTGAGCCAACAAGCAGACTTAACATACGTCTGGGAAACTGGATGATGAAACTCTGCTACAGTGAGTGTCACCAGGACACCACCAGGATGATGACACACAAATTCCAGATAATATAGAAAAGTCTCTCGAGTCCCTTTTCAGCAGATATTAACTCTCTGCTCTCACCTTAGTTACAGCCATGTCGGGCATCCTCCTCCTGCTCCTGTCCTTATCCTGCCTGGTGGCCACGGTGCCTCCTCCAGTCCCCTGCAGACACTGCTGTGATCACCTGGAGCCAGCAGAGGGCAGCGGCGCCCAGCCAAGTAGTTATGCCCCTGAGGTCCGCACATACATCAACATGACCATTCTGAAAGGTAACACATCTATAGCAGCCATCTGAGGTCAAGTCAAGTCACCAAGCACCAAATCATTTTTCTGTGTGAACCTGTGTAATATATGTAGTAGAACATCTGCAGACTCACAGGTTTTCACAATAAAGCCAGAATTTTGGGGGAAAAAACACTTTTAAACACATGTGTATTTGAAATTTAAGGAGAGGTCTTGTTTTATAAAGAGTTATGTTGGGATGGAATTTATGGCAACAAAAAAGAGTGAAGGCAACATGTTTATGAAGCCATGCAGGTCATTGGACAACCGAGCCAAAGACAACACAACAGGCCCAGTGTTTCTACACTGTATAATGTGCAAAAACAGAAAGTATGGCTGTGCTGAAGTATTTGGTCGTGTTTGAGACTATAGATAAAGCTGATGGACGGCGAGGGAAAACTATTTATTTCAATACTTTATTCAACAAAAAATATCAGCAAATATAGTTTTTAGATTAGAGGTGAAAAGTCTTCAAAAACTTAAATAAATCCAGTTACCTGTTTTTTGTTTGTTTTTATTTTTTCAAGCACAGACATCAGCTAACATGATGCTCTTTGTTATGATAAAGCAAGCTGGTCATTGGCATCAGAAGGAAGCATCACACCACTCACAGAACATATTGCAGGTTTTGGATGATTATCCGACAGCCTCAAAGACAATTTTAGACCAGCTTTCTTTGCAAAGCTCTTTCATTTGCAAGATGACAGTTTTCTTATATGTACTTTTAGTTCAATTCCCCCCCAACAGCATTCATGTTAAAAGCTCTGCTTCAACTTCACTGACCACCAGGTTTATACTGGTTTGCTCTTTTCCCTTCAGAGCTGCTTTAATTCTTCATGACACAGATTCAGCAAGGTGCTGGAAGCATTTCTTGGTGACATGACAGTATCACACATATTATTTGTTAAATTCATCCACACCATTTTTCTGAAGGGCATGATTCTACCATCTATGGGTAGAGTTTCAAACAGGATCAAACGACTGTTCTGGGTTTTGGACTTTTTAAAAATGATCTCATACTGTCGTGTAATTATTTTCACTTTAGGTGACAAAGGAGACCGTGGTGAGAGAGGCACACCAGGCAAAGCTGGACTTGAAGGACCTCCAGGCTCTATTGGGCCAGTGGGATCAAAAGGCTCTAAGGGTCAGGCTGGTCTCCCAGGAGACCCCTGCAAAGTCCAGTACTCTGCTTTCTCCGTTGGCCGTCGAAAATCCCTTCACAGCCTGGACTCCTATCAGGCGCTTGTGTTCGACACGGTCTTCGTTAACCTCGACGACCACTTCAACATGTTCAAGGGAACGTTCGTCTGCCACATCCCAGGCATCTACTTCTTCAACGTCAACATCCACACATGGAACTTCAAGGAGACGTACCTCCACATAATGCAGAACGACACAGAGCGGGCGATTGTGTACGCTCAGCCCAGCGACCGCTCAATCATGCAGAGTCAGAGCCTGATGCTGGAGCTGGAGCTGAACGATGAGGTGTGGGTCCGCCTGTACAAGAGGGAGAGAGAGAACGCCATTTACAGTGACGATGTAGATATCTACATAACGTTCAGTGGATACCTCATCAAGCCCAGTGAAGAGAAGGAATGAATCGGCCGAGTATTACTGTACCCGGTCGAGCTCGAAAGCAATTTACCACAAAACTGTCCTTGTAGATAAACACATACTCAACAAGATAAAAATGTTTATATAAAAAGAAAGACTCCTAGCTTTACCAGATTTCACTGGTGGGCTGAAAAAATCCACACAACACTGTAAAACCCAATAACACTTTGTTAATAGTATAAAGTTAAAACATTTGTTTTACTAGTATAAATTTATACTCATTTTAGGTTCAAGAAGAGCCATGCACGTGCATTCAGATTCAAAATTTCAATATTAATATTAAGAAAATATGAAGTCGTCACCGATTTAAGAAAACAAAACAATACATTTAACGAAATCAACAAATAATGAGTTAAATATTAAATAATTTAAATGCTGCACAGCAGTGAGTGGCCTAACTAAATAAAATGGGCAGTGTGCTTTCTGCAGTAAGTATAAAAAAAACAATCACCACATGTTCACACGTCAACTGCACAGAAAAAACAGCAAGATCTGTCAAGAAGTCTCAAGTGGCCTCTACCGCTTAGATCTACTGCATGCAAGAAGCAGTGAGAAAAACCACACCAGCTCTCTGCAGTGCTTCCACCGTCTAGTCAAACATAAGGCTCTGGGGCCAGAATCGGCCCAGCGAAGACTCGATTCCGGCCCACTGGACGGCTTTAGTAAATGTAAGGAGTGCATAAATATTTAACTTTTAACTGTATTTCCATAAGTTTTACAGCTTTTCTTATTGATAAAGACTGGCAATGGGGGTGGGCAGTCTTTATCAATAAGAACAGTTTTTAACTAACAGATAAACGTTCCTGTTGTTCCACTAAGTCCACTCTAAATGAATGACAATAATTATAGGACAGTGTGTGCAATGAACTATCGTCAAATTTTGTGTCATTTTACACAATTATTATGTCGTTTGACTGCTTTGACCCAAAGATCAAAGCAGGCTGCATGTGGCTCAATAGAATGAGTTTGATATCGCCGGTCTAGAACCAAAAAAAGCAAAGAAAAAAAAAGGGTTTGGCAACCCTAAAACCACATCAGATTGGTATCTACAAGGGCAATGCTCTGTATCACTATTAAAAAAAAAAGAAGAAAAACTTGAATTAAATATCTTTATCTCAGGGAGGAAAAAATAAAACCATTTAAAACAGGATACATCAAACAATAGGTGTGCAATAGCCTAGGCCCTGAAATCTGTCTTTAGATTAGATTCACATTTCAACAGGTATCACAGGATACGGTTGCAGGGTCTGCTTTGAGCTTCTGACAGGAGTGTAACATAAGCCCTTCTTTTCTTCAGCCGGGGGCTCAAAGTCAGTCTGACTTTGGAAAACCAAGACGATCAGTCGCATCACCTCCTTGCACCAACGACTCTTATACTGATCCAGCGTCAATCAAACAGATTCATTGCTTTCAGCTGTGCTCATAAAAGGAAAAAAATGACTGCCCACACCTGCCTGCAAGAGATGGTGCTTAGTCTAAGCTCTCACAAATGTGAAAAATGCACATTAGTTAGCTTTACAGGTGACTGTGGGCAGATTCTGTTACCCTTACCTAAAGGTGGGGGGACTGTTTCCACTGTGCTGAGCTAAGCTGGCAGCTGTAGTTTCATATTTGCCAAATGAGAGAGGTAAATATATTCTTATGAACCCCACAGCAAAAAAAAAAAAAAAGAAAGAAAAGTTTGCATTATATAACATTTTTTACCCACAAAGCAGTTTCATTGTGTTTCTCAATCACAGACATGTTTTTAAACCATCAAATATCAAATAAGTCTTGGTTTGGAATCCATCACTCCTGCCCCTGATGTGTAAAACTAGATGCATTAAACAAAGCATGAACTTTACAAAGATACAGGCTCAATCTGTTTATTTAACATGAAAGATTATCTGTATTTGGTGTTCAGAAGCATTTTATATGACATTCACTGGGAAGATTTGCTGTTAGTGAGTTTTGCTAAAACACGGTGCTAACTGAACTCCTGCTGAATTTGGGTTTGGGAAATGTATATTTTACAAAGTATTCTCCTTTCCTTCTAAGATTTACATCTTCAGCTAACTTTAATCTTTTATGCATGCAAAACCAATAAATTAAAAACACAAATAACTAAGCTCTGGCAGTCATAGTTTAAAATTACGAGTGAGAAAACTGATTCTCCAGACGACAGCAAATGAATAACTCTCAACTTCTAATCCTGAGTCGTGCATTAATAACAGATAAATAACAGCCAGAAAAGTCTTTTTGTTGCAAAACTGCGATGTTTAACCTTTATGATGTCATCATTTCATCTGAGTAAACCTTCACTTCTAACCACTAAAAACTTTTTAAATCGTCCTGGATTCCACATAAACATTTGTGTCAGTTTGAGGAAATTCCCTGATAGCATTCGTTAGATATTACAAGGGAAGTGCAGACACACAACCCGACAAAGTTATGTCACTAAAGCTGTGAAGGAAAATGAAACTACGCTGCCCTCTGGACTGCAGAGCTTAATGCAGCACAAAACACAAATACTAATCTGAATATTAAAAGCACTCCAAACATTGATACATAATGTAATATTTGAGAATGTGAAGCATTAATTAAACTGTATACACTAAAAAGTGAGCCATTGCCGTATTGCTTTAAACCTGCATTCTTTCTAATGGCCAGCAGGGGGAGACTTATCAGGCTGTTAAAAGAAAAATAAGTAATGTTACTTTCCTTTCCCTGTGACGAGAATAAACATTTTCATTATGACTTTATGCGCTCGGTTACTAATTTCAGGTCACAGTTGGGTTCACGTTGTAAATATGACCATTATTAGAGTCACAAAACAGGATAAATCGGCGTATACTCACGACCAGTGTTGGTCAAGTTACTTGAAAAAAGTAATCAGTAACTAATTACTGATTACTTCCCCCAAAAAGTAATCCAGTTACTTTACTGATTACTTCTGCCCTTTTCAGCCCAATTCTGCTTTTTCTGCATAATCCATCATACAAAATGTAATCAAATGGAAAAGTCTCTTTTTTTAAACTTGTTTTATCAGTTTTAATCTTTTAACTTTATGCATCAAGCAAAAATGAAATTATATGCAACATTCTCTGACTTGAAGAAATTAGTTTAACATTTAAACCTATTTTCTGCACATTCCAGCACATAAAATAAAATATTTTTTGTGTTTACACTCAGTCTTTCAAATAGATGCAAGTAAAACACAGCAGAAAATAAATAAAGTCAAAGACTAACGGTCCTGTTGCTCTATTTTCACCTGTAAAGCAGGAGTGGGGTAGGCGGAGGTGTGCTCTGGTGCAGGTGTGCCGCAGCGGTCATTTGAAGAATCTGCGAGTTTCTCTGTGAATTTCACATTACGTCGTAGCGCACTCGGTGCTTGTTTAGGGGGTTTTTTCGCTGTAAAAAGTTTTCTTCCCACGCACAACGGACGCTAATGTTTTTGTCACTTTTTATGGAATCAAACTCAAAGTAAGGTCAGTACTTCCACGCTTTAAACGCTGCACACTCATACTCTCAATACATGATCCACTGTTGATCTGCGCACAGCTGTTGTCACGAACATCGCACTCGCTTACGTCACTGTCATGAGACATTCTTGCAAAAAAATCACGGTTTCAGTAACGCAGTAACGCAGCGTTCCTACGGGAAAGTAACGGTAATCTAATTACCGTTTTTGCAACAGTAATCCCTTACTTTACTCCTTACTTGAAAAAAGTAATCAGATTACAGTAACGCGTTACTGCCCATCTCTGCTCACGACTCACAAGTCATAAGGCAGTGAGCGTGCCGTGGGCCTCAGTTTCATGGTTAAATCTAACAGTGCGCTCCATTTGAAGTTGTGTATACACTGTTGTGTATTTGTGACTCGCTAAATAAGCCATACATAGAGCACTGACCAGCCAATATCCATGAAAGCACTGCAGCGATGTTTTGAAGAGCAAAAACAGGCGTTGTGCTGTTTTTCCACACTTGTGTCAAATCACTCCCAGTTCTCACTTCTGAGACAAATGGAACGCAGCATGACCCTCACTCACCATGGGTGACGTCATGGGGGTTACATCCATCTTTTATATACAGTCTGTTCCACCTTTAAGGCCGTGCCGTTGATGATCTAACAGCAGTGACTCCTTATCCAGCTTTGGTTATTCCGTGACTGGAATAAAAAGTGAATGTTGTTTATAGTAGTCAGCAACAATAATGATAAGAACGTCTTTTTGGACACATGTTCAATGTGAGCCCGTCTTATTTCATGTCCACTCATGTCAGTCCCCACAGACTGACATGAGTTATATAAAATAAATGAAAGAAGCAGAAAACGGGTTATTGTTCATTTGTTTCTACTCATCTAAACTATTTATTTTCTGCCAGTCACTTGTTCACATTACCATCATGTGTCCCTAGGGTCAGTCCTTCAGCTGGAACCTGCATCATTAAACTTAGATTTGTTGATTTGTTTTCAGGGTATATCATCAAGGTGGGTTTCCAGCCAATCACACGTACATCACAGCATCTTATCTGCCTGACATAATCTACTGGGCAAAGTCAGGAAGCATATTTAAGCCATGCCATGTTTAAGGTATACTTTTTGTCTTTTCAGTTTAAACTAAAGCCACGATTATTTAGGTATTTACATAGGTGCCCAGATCAGCACTGGCAGCCACGACAAAATGACTGGAAGATGGTGATAAACTTGTCCACACTGACACCTTGAGGAATAAAAGTAGAGGTGCTTGATATTTAACTACATTCTTGATGACTAGAATTTTTGTCCCACCTGTGATATGAATCACAAATATACAAGCACAAACAAACTAAAGCAAGTGGCGAGCTGAAGTGTTCACACTGGAGACACGGTCAGCATTTCCTGTTAACATTTTTGTGGGCTGCACTGGTTTCCTGTCATTCTCTTACAAGCCATGTGTTTTTCACCACAATTCTCAGCTCTCATTCAAAGTGATAGTTGTGTTTTACATTGCGTAACCTTTCGCAGTCTGGTAGATTAATGTTAGTATTGCACATAATCACACTAAAGAAGAGCAGATTAACCTTTCCTGCCCCGCAACATTATTTCTCTGAATTCCAGCTACATGAATACTTCTAAAATGTGCCATCAAGTTCAAATATGACATTTGTGTTTTTAACATCAGTTGAGATGAAGTAGGCTATGGTTTTTGCACTGCCGTGTAAACAAAGTGTTCAAGGCAGCCGTTGAAAAAAGAAAGCCGCATTTATTCATGATTTTTATTTCTGCCAATAAATAAAAGTCAATTCTTTGCACTTTCACAGAAATGAAAAATATCATTTTTAACTGAATGAATGTAAACACTCACATAAAAAAAGACCAAAGAACAGAAGTTTGTTTTTGTTAAAGATGACTGACTTGCAAAAACAAACACGAGTAAGGTTGAAATGCAGTTTTTTTCCATTATCTTCATACAAACAAGCTTTTTTTTGTATATTTAGAACAATGATGTTGAGATGACATTAGATTTTTAATTATTTTGTTGTTGTTTTTTTACAGTAACAACACCCCACAGTTGCACAAAACAAACCAAAAAGCATTGAAACGACACTGACTCAGTGTGTGTGTTTGTGAGTGCACACACATAAGAACATGCAGAATAATGTCGGACAGAGCATGACCTCACATACAGTCTGAACCAAACACAGGCACGCTGGAGAAACAAATTCATACAAATTCACACATAAAGACATTTACGGTTCTCCTAAAGGGCTCCTGTGTTTCCTTTTTCCCCCCCAAATGATGATTGCACACGATAAACACAGGCCAGCACGTCAAGCATACTTTGCTGTGGCTTCATACAGCTCTTACTGTATTTGGATTTAAGTAAAAATTAAGTCCTACAAAAATACTTTTTTTTTTTGCTGTGTAAACTTTTGCAACCAAAGGCACTGTCTTCCCTTTGCACTTTTCCCCCTTAAAATTGACCCAGCCTCATGCTGCGAAGCTCCGACTCTAACCGTGTTCACGCCTTCGCCCTTCAGCTAGCGCCGAGTATAGCCTCATTATACATTACAGTTGTACTTTGATGTTATCATCAAACCAACTCGATGCATCTCACAGCAGCGCAGTAGCGTTGCACAACTGAAAACTGTGTTTTGCTGGCTTCATATAAATGTGCTCAGCTCATTTGCTACAAATACAATGCATCCCATGAAAATTCTGCCCTTAGATTTTAAAAAATGTAAATAAATTACTGCCTATCAATGCTCCCCCTCAGCCTCCTATTAGATGCACCTATGGTATCCTTCTTCAGTTATCACATTCACAAGATTTTCAGAACTTGACCTCTGACCTTAGAAGAGGTCAGTTATCACCTATGGCATCAATTTGAAATTCCTAAGTTGCCTCGTGTCAACACCACCCCGGTTACCCCCCTCAACCCCATCAGCCTTTTATGGCACTGTTGCAGTCTTCAGGGTTACCCAGCATAATTAAGTGTTAAAAACTGTACACTGTGCATGGAAACACCAAGCAAGTGTTGATGGCAACAACATGAAACAAAAGAAAATGTTCCCTTTACAAACTGTTTAAATACACAGAGGCACGTTTGAACAAGTACAACTATGAAGACCAAAAAAAAAAATCCTCACACCAGGGATTTATATTTTAAAAGACAAGCTGAGACAAATCCCACTAATCTGCCTGCTGTGCTGCCTAATGGAGCTGCTGTGCTTCTGTACGATGAGGCTACATCATGCTTTGAAACTGC